CCCCCCCCTCTCTTTTTCTCTCGCTTCGCGAGCGAGGTCTGTCCTCCGCGAAGGCGCTGTTGGAGTGACCGATCAGTAGAGTGCGAACGGCAGCGCGCGGATCGTCATTGAAGTAGCGGATAACCTTCCTCTACTTCTAAGGATCACGCCGTTTGAGATGACATCGAGTACTCCTAGCCCGTCGAAATGGGCCGTCATCCACCTGGCGTTTTTGGTAAGAGTAAGCCCCCTTCTCCCTCCCCTCCCCTCTCCTCCCCCCCCCCATTATCCATTGTCCGTCGCCAAATCCACCGGTTCCCCATGTGTTCGTCGGGACGTGTATGTTCTCAACATTCTGTCGAATGTTGAGTCGCTTCGACGAATGTGGGTTATACGCTACATTTATCCGCGCTTGCCTTTCTCTGGTCTTTGGAAATTGTTAATCACCCGAGAACTCGATGAATGTGATTTATGCGCGGGAGCGGAGGCCGCATCGGCGGAAAGACGCAGAAGCATATCCGTGAATGTGCCGAGCCTGGCACTTAATATAAGCGCGTCGCGCTTAATAAATCAAAAATTTTACTGCGGAGATTAATATTTTAATGATGCACGCATTACTTCCATCTTGAGATACCACCACGGAACAGCCGAGTTTTTTTTTTTTTTTTTATCTCTTCCGTGAGAAACCGAAAGCACCCGTAGACTTCAAGTGGCGAAGATAATGGTTCGAAGTAATAGATTGAAGCTAATCAGAGAAAATAATGTCATTTTGAAAATGTGTGATGTGTGACGTGTTTTTTTTTTTTTTTTTTTTTTTACCAGTAACTTTCTTCGTTTGTCCTACAAACGCTCGTCCCTCAATTCTTTTCTTTTTCTTTTTCAATTCGAGTCGTTTGGTCGACATTCGACTCCTATCTTCTTCCAAGGAATAAATCACTCTACATCTTTTCCTCTTGTAATCTCTCTCCGGTAAGATTTCCCCACACTCTATGGATTTAAATAACACGTTTTCCGAAGTTGTGCGTCGAGTTGTGACACAGGCATCGAGGTGCACGAGAGCGCGTTAGTAAAACGATGACGGACGATGAATACCGGGAAACCGTAGCGATTCGTTTCACCGGCGGGAGGAAGCGCGAATCGAGATGCAAGCGATTCACCGCGGGGGATTCCTCGAGACACACGTATATATATGCAAACATCGTATGTGCAAACATCGCGAAACCTGCCATTGCTGCGACAATGTTCCGCAATTAGAAACGATGAGTTTTTCGCGAGCGCAAAGTTTTGTTTTCAAAGTTTCACAGAATGCTATTTTTAAATTGATAATGAAAATTGCCGCACAAAAAGAAGATTAGTCTTAAATCAAGATTATATATTCTCACATAAATAAGAATATTATTATAATCTTTATATAGAAGATTTTTTTATCTTTTAATCTTGATTTTAGTCTTGAGTTGGGCAAACGTAATACTCGCGCAAAGTCAATTAAATCAAGATTAAAATTTTTAAGAAGATCATAATGTTTTTACTTGAGAATATTATTTGTTTGGGCTTTTAAGATTAATTTTTTAATTAATTTTTTATGCGAAGAGAATCGATGCCCCGGGCGGAAAAAACAAAAAAGAAATACACAATATATACATATATATTTATTACTACCTAATTAATATTTAATAGAGCATACTGAAACACATAATAAAATAAAAAATATGTAAATTAGGTAACATGTAATTTATTACATGTGTTATTATTAAATAACAATTTTAATTTTGTTAAATATCCTTGAATCTCAACTTGATCTTTTCTAATAGATTTTTCAAGTTTTATCTATGGCTTTTTTTGCACGCAACATTTGATACGTGTTTAATCTTGTTATTATTAGTAACATTTATTTGCACTTATTTTCATTGATATTTATAGTAACTTGCGTGATGTTAGATTAGAATATAATTTATATACTTTTTATGACTTGTATCTGTATTTTATAATGTGTTTTATTGTTAAATATTAATTAGATAGTAATATGTTGCAATAGTAATTGTGAGGTCGAGTTTTTTTAATTCGTATTCTCTACGCAGCGCCGAGTAAAGCGAGAAATTCTCAAATTATTTTATCATTATCATTATATAATCGCGTTCGCGTCTGTATTCATTTTGCAACAGGATTTCTACCGCCTCTCAACCGTATAGGAATAAAATAATTTATCTCTCTTCCTTATCGTATTCTGTTCGGTCCCTCGTCGAAGCGCGACGCGATGCCAGCCGTCCGAGAATGGGACAGTTCTCTTCTGGACACGCGCGTATTTCATGAAAAATGGCCAATTTTTAAAGAAGAAAAATCTTGGAGAAATCTCCCGATTCAACTGTGATCCAACTGTTTTCACTTCTGTTCCAGGTGTATTGGGCGGCGTGGCTAGTCGAGGGATATCCTCACGTTTCCACGGAGGAACCGCCGAACGGAAGTTCTTCGAAGCAGCAGATCACGTTATCAATCTCGAAACTGATCGAGACAGCGTATAATAATAACGAATTGGTAGCGCCGGCACAATGGTTTGCGCGAACTGACGATAAGGACCAAACGACCGAACAGATGCAACGGGATGCCATGGAACAGTTGGAGCCCTCAAATGACGAGACGATGCAATATAGAAAAAGAAAATTGTTAGAAGGTAAGGGGAAATTGTCCAATATATCCATTTAGCTATTTTTTTATAAATGTTATAAATATTACAGATAATATTTAATCGTACCTCTTATAAAAATGATTATGTAATTTGATTATGAGACCTGATTTTTCTTATACAATTATTAGAATATTGCTGCTATAAATTTTACATACAACAAATAATTTTTTAGCAGATAAAAACAATATATATGATGAGCAATGTTAACTATAACATTTAGAAATCTAACTGGATCAGCGAAACATTTTTTTGAGTGTATGGGGCAAAAAATATGATTCAGACAATCATTATCTAAATCATATTTCCTTTGTATCGTGAATTTATGAATAAAAATAGTTAGAGTATAAGATTAACGAAAGGAGTTGTTAATTATTTTAATTAATTATTATTATGTTTATGTTATTGCTGACGAGTTTCTCTGTTGCAGTGTCAAGCTCAGAGATATCAATGCACAGACACTCGGATGAGATCGTTTTTCCAGATGGCACAATTTCGTCGTCGACGTTGTCATCAATGACGTTACCAGCACCGTCCTGTCACAAAAGCACATTCTGCGAAAATGTCGTCGATTATCCCAGACATCTGATAAATCAGGCGATAGCACGGAACGCCAGTTTGAGATTCCTGGAAAGCGTCGATCCGGTAGATAAAAATAGCTTAGGAATAATTTATTTTATCTCTGAAAACGCGCGAATAATTGTTACCATATCATTGCATTGAAATCAAAATTTTTTTATATTCGATTATGATTATCCAACATGCACATGTGCTAAACAAAGAATCACGAAATAAGCATAATCTCAATTATGTAAACTGATATTATACCTAATACGGCTTCAGTGATGAATCAGAAGCCTAAATTAAATTTATTATTATAAATATAGATTTATTTGTAGATTTCAATGTAGATTTTTAAATCTCCTTCATTTTTAGCATCAAAATTGAAATTTGACAAGATTGATTTTAATTCCTAATATATTCCTAATATATTTTGAATATTTTGTTTATCTCATTCGTCAAATTCTGTTAAATTCTAATCAACATGTACATCTTTTTAGATGCCTGATATTGAACAGAGGATAGATGCTACGGATGAATCTCCGCTTTGCCAATATCGCGTAAGTTGACTTGATTTTCCTGTATGTCCTTGAATCTTTGATAAAAATATCACAGTGATTATTAACATGTCTCATGCAACACCAATTTCATGTGAATTTTTGCCATCACCAACAAGCCACACGATATGTTCATTATATTTAAATTAATTTAAATAAATTACAATAATAAAAAAAACTACAAAAATTAATGAAAGATAATAATCTAAGATAATAATATTGCATTATGTACTGATAAATAATATCAGGAAATATTTCATGATTTCTTTTATCTAAAATTAAATCAAATAGTTTGAATCGAAAGTTCAATGTAGGTCCATCCACCGGTGATCCACGCGACATGAAATGCGTGTTAAATTTAAAATATTATTAATCTTAAAATCATAATTTGCAGGAGCAAGTGGTATACCCGCAGACCGCGCAGAACAAGGCGAAGGAATGGCTATTCATCGTAAATCAGGATAATTTAAAGCAAGGAATACGCATCGAGGTTTGCCTGTAAGGATGTGCAGTTCCATTCGGAGTAAAAGTAATGTGAGAACCGAGTCTCTCAAAGTACATTTGAGTTTTCAATTTTGCAGAAACGACGGTCAGGAATGTAACTTGATCGATGGCTTCGCCGAGGGTTACAAGACCACCTGCAAACAAAAGTATATCTATCGAGAATTGGCGGCAGTGGGGAGCAATGGTAACATCATCAAGGACCAATTCCGCTTTCCGTCAAGTTGTTGTTGTCACGTGAGATTCACCGGTGATCCTACCGTCAGAATAGGACTAGGACTAGATTTGCAACCCAATCGGACCTTGAGAACACAATATAAATAGAGTATCTCCTCTATTGTGCGAACACGCTTTAAAAATAATCAGGACGAACGAGGAGAGAACGTAGCGGAGCAGCTCTTTTCTTCTCATTCGCATGTTCGCCTATGCAGACATTTGGCAAATCACATATTCGCACGATAGACTCACACACAAGATGACTTCGATCATACTTTGATTAATTTTATTAAATAATATCGAGAATTAATCAACTATCGTTAATGATAAAATTAATTTTTCAATTTTTTGTTGATATATAAAAGATTTTTAAAAATTAAAGATAATTATATATTCGAAACAATTCTGCCGGTTGAAATTAATCGGAGTTTGGTCAAAGTTGCGGTATTACCCAGTTACCCTTTTTTTTCTTTAGATATATAAGAACATTTCTGTTTTCGTTCTCTTCTTATGCTCAGACCTTGCGCCTCACGCACGGTCTATTTATATTACATGAATCGAAAGACTATCACGATGTCAAGAGCGAGGTCAAGAGAGGAAGTGAAGAAAGTACAAAAAAAAGGAATTCGCGAAGCGAGAATAATCGACGATGTTGGTGTCACATCGATTATTGGGAATGAAAGTGTTTCATAAAGGAACTACACAATTTTCAAATATAAATATCGTCAATGCTCTCTTGTATTAATTATTAATGCGCGAACAATATTCGACAATAGGATAAGAATTACGTGTACAGAATTATATTATCATGTGATATTATGTGATACGATTACTTATATATTAATTACACATTTACGTTATATCTAAATCTTATCATTAACCTTACGAATAAAGTGATTTGTGCTTTGTTCTTGTACACATACTTTCTCCTTATGGAGTGTCAACAGGCACATAGTTTTATAAAACATTCAATATTTTTAAATGCAATGCACATTCCAGTCAAAAAACATGGAAGTAAAATCATAAACAACTATCTGTACGTTGTAAATGTATATATGATCATTTCTGGCAGTTTCTCGTTGAATGGAAAACGCAGATTTGTCTCTTAATTTTCTAATAGATCGTTGTATAAAATGCAATCTTGTTCGTATAGAAGAAATGCACTCGTCCATTAGGCGAGCAAGGAACATGGATATCAAAAAGAAAAACATCAGTCATCATTCTATTGTGTTGTAAAGCTTTCACTTTGTCGTATTAAATATTCCCCTGCGAGATAGATAAAGCTCTCAGCATGCCTGCAAAAAGAACAAGAATGTTTCAATTTCTGGATTAGTAGAAAAAAATATTTCATGTAGCAAAAAAAAAAAAAGAGAGAAGAAATGAAGAGGCAAAGTTTGGAGTTTAAGAAGAAGATGAAGGAATAAAAAATGGGACGACACAATGGAGGAGTCATACCTTGGCGCTGTAGTCACTGTCGAAACCGCTCTTCCTCTGCATCTGTGCCTGGAGATCGGCCAACTGGGCGATCGACATGTCGATGTCGCCGCTGCTGATGTGCGCCGTGTGCCTGAAGTTCGTGGGCACGCCGATCATGCTCCGGTCTATCCTGAGCCTCTGGTGCGGTCTGCCGCCGTTCCGCCTGTTGCTCCGCGTCGCTCGCGGCGTCAGACAACACGTGAAGCACTGCACCCAGAGCTCGTTGTTGCCGGCCATCCTTCGCGGTGATCTCCTCGCGCGATCTCGAATCGTCCGTGAATGGATCTCGGGCAACGAAGGTAAAACCGGGAAGCTCGATCCGCTCGATGGCGAGACGACGATCCCACGGATGCCCGCAGACGAATTCGCAGAGTTTCGAGAGTGGGACCTCGCGGTCCTTTGCAGGTTAGGTCCGCTGACGGCGGGGAAGATCGCGATTGCGTTCAAACCTTCTTTGCGCCGGTCTCAACAGCCGACGTGCCGACGAGCGAAGTAAACATTCCCGTGGAACGCGCGGCTCGCGGCTACGTAGGACATCGTTTTCCGCGAAACGCAAACACCGGAGGACGATGAGGACAGGCAGCGTGGCAGCAGCAGCGGCAGCGGCGACGGCGACGATGGAAACAAAGGCGAATCCGGTTTCCCGCACTCGCGATGTTGACGCGAGCGCTGTCACACGCGCGGCGCGGCGCGGCCCGTTTCACACGGTCGCCTCACAATCGGGGCAATTTGTTTTCTGCACTAAAGATGCACTAAAATTTTATATACATATTTATCGCTTTTGTTGTTGTTGAACTTTAAATATATCTACTTCATTTTACAGCCGAGTGCGCACATTCGGCTATAAAAAAAAAACAAATCTAGAGATGACATGTGGTTCCGTGTAGAGACGTTCGTATATCTAACAAACATTTTTTATCGCAATGAATGGAAAAACTTTAATCTTTGATTTGATTTTTTATTTTTTTCAGCTTCAAAAATTGAAAATAAAGAACGAAACGAAATTAAACTGACATTAAAATTATTAGGCGGTAGATGTGAATATTATATATTATAGTCGGCAAGTTCTATGTTCGACCTCGACCTTTCGCTCGCATACGGATATCAACGGTGATCAACATATTATTTGCTGCGGAGCGGATAAAACTGAATAGACAAATCTTTTATCATTTTACTATAATTAATAAAAAAATAATTGACAAAGAGTATACATTTAATGTATATAAATCAAGAATATGTCAAATAACTGAAAGAAACGTCAGCGATACTCGGAGACTAGGAAAAATCTTATCATTTTTCTCTTTTATTTTTGATTTTATATGTATAAATTCAAAATAATTACTTTGAACTGTTACGTTGAATACTGAATTTACTCGCTTGAATGAACTCGTGTGTTTTTTCTCTGTAGACAAAAAATACAATACATATACGTATTTATTTAAATTTACATAATTAAAAACATTTGTATATGTGCTTCTTACTAAAAGTAAGAAATAAAGTATTAAAGTAATAAAGTATTAGAGTTATTAATTATAATTATACAATTACAAATATTGTTATTTAGGAATTTCATTCATCTTCATGGCGTAAAATTAAATCTGATAACACCGACATTTGCCACATTAAAAAAATCTTGTTACTTGCATGCAATTACACATAGTGACCTGTCGCGAATATAGATCGTGTAAAGTGGGCTCCCCTGTTCCGTCTTCATCCTCTTTCTGTTTATCGATTTATTTTTACCTTCCTCGTTTCACCAGAGCGCAAACGTACACGTGTTGAGTGTGAAAAGTGCAAGGAGTACAGTTAGGATGAACCGATTTATACATAATCAACGTTCTAGATCAACGTATTTGTATGTTGAGAATCGAGTTTCAGGAGAGAGAAAAAGAGAGGGAGGGAGGGAGGGAGGGAGAGAGAGAGAGAGAAAAGATTAATTACGGGTTTATACTCCTCAATCAATCTTGAGCAAACCTTATCTTACCCAATAAGCAAAATGTTACCAGTTCCAGCGGAATATTGTGACACATTGATTTCAACTGCGCCCACACTCCAAGTTCGTGTTTCGCCAGAAAAACCTGCTAGAAAATATAATTTGAGACAGGAGGACTGCTGGCAGAAACCGGACAAAATCATTTCGCAACCATTTAAATGGAACACATCATTTAAATGGTTACGAAATGGCAAGTTCTGCGCAGTTTTTGTATAGACTACCGTTATGTTTTTAGAAGTATCCCCTTATACTTTCGTTGACCAAATTTAGCAGAAAGCTAAATTTAGCAAAAATAGCAGAAGTCTTGTTTTTAAAATCTGTATTACTAATAGACTTTGACTTGACTCATGTCTATCCACAGAGACTCCTTCAGGGACCTTCAGAGACATCTCAAACAGACATATATATGTCTCAATCAAATCTCTCATGTTTTTTTAAAACATTTAAAAATTATTGTGACAAAACTATTATAAGATATAAGAAATTATTTACATAGTGAAATCTGAAATTTCTCGGATCCAATTACCTTACAACACAAAATGAAATCTGAAATCAGGATACAAAGACATCTTAAAGATCTCTTTTATTTTTGTTAAAAACATCTTTAAAACATTCCGATCTTGGATTCTGTTGTTTCCGATAAATATTAAAATGAAGAGAGAGACCTATTGTTAATTTATTATGTATCAAATTTTGAATCAAAAAATAATTTCAAGGAGATTCCAATTTTCTTTTAATCTTGATCAAAAGATGTGACATTATTATTGTAGAATATACAAACAATTATTTGCTTAGCGAAATCCGGAAATTTTTGACACGATCGGACTGACTTTGCCATGACGACATATTATCCTCGAGACAATGATTATAGGTGAGTTTCGATGACATTTACCCTCCATTATATTCATAATGAAGAATAACGTAGGTAAGAAGACAAGAGATATGTAAAATGCCAGCTAATACACTTTATTTAAATAAATTATATACAGGTATGCTTCGAGCCGGATCGAGATGCTTGGTCCGCGCTCTTATCTTAGAACATAAATTAAAGTTAATTTCTTTTACAATGAATTGACTGCAAAGGCCATCGCTCTCTCGTGTCTGGATCAAATACTCTCCCCCCCCTCCCCTCTTCTTCTTCTCCTCCGACAATTTTCATAGGTTTCCTCCCATAAATGTTCCCAAACAAGTTTCGTCTCTTGTAATTTCCGTTCACGAGATGTGTTCACGCAGATGTTGTTAGAAATTATCACAGTCTGTCTATTTACAGCGTTAACGTTAACGTGATAGTCCTAATCTAGAGAATTAACATCGTCTTCTCTCCCGCGCGTCTCATATACTTGGTGCCGTGCATTCGCCGGTGTTTAAACGTTAAAATTTACGACAAAGAAAACGCCACAATCGCCCGCCCGCACGCACGCACGCACGCACGCACGCACGCACGCGTGTGGAATTTTCGAAACGGATCTCTATAATACTTCAACTATACGTGCGAATTCAAAGAAAACGCCTCACGTTTAGAGCGAGCTTTATTAGGGATGTAAACTTATGTATTAATCGTACATTACTCGATGTATATCAATATGTACATATGTACAATTAATATATATCAAGTAATCAAGGATAACTTAATTACGAATACTTATAGTTAAGAGCAACAATGCTGTCCAATTCGGATGCAGAACTGCATCGTACAAGTACGAATAGACGTAGGAATGGAATATATATCGGAATATTCGCATTCGAATCTTACAATCGAAATTGTCTTAAGTACGATTTCGAGAAATTACATGGTCATTTCTATTTATTCTGGATAAAATTTTCATACTACTTAAAACGATTTTAAATAGCATACTTTTCTTCATAGAAAAATATGATGCCAACAAATGGTAGGATTGTAAAATGGTGAAGACTTTCTTATGAAAAAATATACTATTGCTGGCACGCATACTGCGCATTTTCGTGGGCATATCTTTTTAACACTATCTATTATGTCTACAATTAGTAACGATGAATAATTTGCTTCCTTAAATGAATTGCGCATGTGCGAAGAGATAAAACTTCGTGCTGTCACGATCCTACTATTCGTTGATATCAGTTTCGACGCTACGTTTCGTCTAATCTTATTACGTTCATGATTTGACATGATCTTCCCCCAATGCCAAATAATGTGCCTGTTAATTGCCTAAAAGATAATCGAAGAAATTCAGATTTCCTAATTTGGATGCATCTGAAAGGGAAAAAGAAATCTTCCCCCTTTACAAAATTCGCTGCATCTTCTTCTCCAGTGATTAGCCAATCAATCGGCTGCTAGAGGAGAGAGAGAGCAGTCAGAGAAGAGGGGGAATCGCTAGTTCAATCTGTCTCTATTCTAGCATTTTTGCTCCCAACTGTACCATAAATCTCATTTATCATGCTGTATTTACATCTAGCGTACTTACATACAAAATGTCACATAGTAAAAATTCTCGATTACGTGATCTCTCAATATATACACAGTAATTTAGGGGAACGCGGTCGCAGTCCTCGAAATTTCGGTACTTGATGTTTAATACGATGTCATCGTTTCCTTCTTCTTTTTTTCAGAAAATGTAATTCGGAAAAAGAGCACTTTAAAAAGATGTTACGAGAATAGACAATTTTGACATAAAATTTGATTACAGAAACTTATTCAAGTCAAATGTAAATTGATCTTTCGAACAAATTAAATAATTTTTAATTTATACGTTTTATCTAAGTCTTATCTAAATAAAAATAAATATAAATTTTGTATTTTAATTTCTTTTCATCATGCAAATGAGACAAAATTGTGGTAAGCAGAAACATTTTTTGTTTAAGGATCAAAAATTTATAATTACATCATGTCTTCTGATTTAGGCAACTCTATTAGTTCCCCTTTGAATAGGCTACCCGATTGTTGGATGAGTACACTTGGCATCGTTCACATCTTTATCTATCTGAATTAGTCACATGAATATTGCATGCATATTGCACCTAAATATTCCTGAATCATGACAGTTGGTAAAAACAAAATTCGCAAAACTGTTTTCAATTAATTAATGGTAAGAAATTTTCCATATAATTATGTATAATTATATATAATATATTACATTATTAAGATAAAGATAATAAGGTATAATTATATGAAATGATGATATAATTATATATGTTGATTATTAATATATGTAGAATATGCCTACATATAAAAATATGTAATTACATATTTTTATATATATGCATATCCTATATATAATTATATATTATATGGAAAATTTTATCGACATATTAAGCTATTGTTTATATATTTTTATATTTTTATTTAATCTATTATTGAATCTTGATGTCATAAATATTTAGTACAGTATTACTAAATGCTGTACGAATACGATGCATTCTCAGTCTAGTCTGCATTTGCGATTCCGAGCGAATGTCTAAGAGAGCATTCCGATGTATCAGGATGCAGCCTAATTTCATGCAAAGACACAAACGATGCCGAGTGTGCGACGATCTAATTGGATCGCGCAGTATCTGCCTCTTAAACAGAGTGCGGAAGTTCGTTTCCACGGTCAGTCTCTTCCTAATTGAGTAACTGAGTAAACTGAGATTCATTCAGGTGGGCTAGTCGGTCCCGGATAATGTGAACAGTGAATTAAAGGGAAAATATATACAGTGTTCCGAATTTATGAATTTGAAGTAGATTTTTTTCAATAAAAATAGACAAATTTTATTCAAATCGTACTAATAAATTAATAGATAATTTTATCCAAAATGTTTTATATCCTTATTTCAAAACGTTAAAATTAAATAAAGAGAAAAATAAAAAATTAGAAAAAATTTTTAAATACAATTCCCAAATAGTATGCGCATGTATATATAAGTGTATGTCGAAAAAATTTATGAATAATCAATGATTAAGAATAAATGATGGTAATCCGATTTTTCAGAAGAGAGAAAGAGTAAAGAGAGAGTCTATAACAGAATCATACATAATTTTCAATTAATCTCACGAACATTTAAATAAAATGTTAATCTCAAATCTTTTCAAGATACATGTGAAAAAATGGAAAGATATTAAATTTAAAACATTTTTTCTTAACTATATTATTTTTCTAAAATGAGAGAACTTTTTTTGAAAAAACAGTGGTCCAAAATCCAACGATTCTATATATAAAAAAAGTATTTGTTTGTGACATCAAATAAACGATTGGGCTGTCTCAGGCATTTTTCTTACGAATCTTCACGAACTTCCGTATCTCCCTTACAATTAAAAGATAAATCAAGATCGATGTCAGAATGATTGATACTTTCCGTTTCAGATAAGCTCTACGAATTTATCCTAATGTAAATCAAAGTGTAAATAATAGTTAATAAATTATTTACCAAACTAAATGTTTGATTTGTTTGAGTAATACAAGAAAAATCAGGGCAAAATAATACTTGTCTCGTTATATCTCAGATACCTGCAAGAATTAAAATAGCTTGAACTTGTTTCTCTCGCTTACGTAAATATAGTGGCGAAA